TTTGGCTCTCAAAATAGTGTGATAGCTACTAAAAATCCACTGGATTTCAGTGGCTAGGAGGCCAAACAAAGCATGAAACAAAGGCCTAGGTGCAAGGCTCAAAACAAGAGGCAAACAAGCATACAAGGGGGTAGATGACCCCCAACAAAAAAATTCCCTTAACCAAACTTCAAGAGGGGCTCAAAAAAAGACTCTTTTCATTTTATGACAAACCTCGAAAATGCTTGCAAGCAAGGCTAAGATAGGAAGCAAAATAAGCCTACAAAGAGGGATGAAGCATACAAGGAGGTAGATGACCTCAAACAAAAAAATGTCCTTAATCAAACTTCAAGAGGAGCCCAAAATAAGACACTTTTCAGTTTGAGATGAAACCCAGTAATGCTTTCAAATAGGGCTAAGTTATGAAGCAAAATAATGCAAAAATGGGGGAAATGATGACTTACCCATGTAGCACAGCAATGCAGCAAGTTCTGGACCAAGAAGGTGAGCCTTCAACCTCTGAAAAATAGCTCCGGGGTGATTGAATGGATGGTGGAGGTGGTAGGCTATGAGGTGTAGTGTAAATGGCCAAGAATATTAGGGTTTGGAGCTTGAAGAAGAGAGCTATGGAAGGTGGGGTGTATCTATCTCAGCCAAATGTTTCTAACTCTTGCAAATGGAGAGGGAAGGTTTATTTTATAGAGGAAGAGAGCCAAGGCTTTTTGGAGAAGCCTCAAGAAAGGGTCAAAGCTTCTCAAAGAAGCTTAACCAAAAGGGCCAAGCTTCTCCTTGAAGCTAAGCAAAAGGATCAAATCTTCCTTAAGAAGACAAACAAAAGGCTCAAAATCCCGGAGGAAGGGTCAAGTGCTTCACAGCTGGCACAGTTGTGTTGCACTCAGGAAGGCCAAAAAGCAGAAGGCTGGCCGACCAGCCAAGGTGGTCGGCCGACTACTCCCCCTGGTCGGCCGACCAGGGGTCAAAAGGGTCAAGGTGAAATGCTGGTCAGCCATACCAGAAAGGTGGCCTCCCAAATGAATAGAATACAACTGTATGGTGGGAGACCAGAAATTGTGGCCCAGGGGAGAGGAAAACCAGCTTTCTAGCAAGGTTCAAAAGGGTCAGGAAGAAAAGCTAGTCGGCCTACCCATATTGGTGGCCTCCCAGATGAGTACAACACAATGGTGGTATGGGAGACCAGAAATTATGGCCCAAAAGTGAGAAAAACGAGCTTTCTGTCAAGAAAACCGACTGGAGGAGAGTGAAAATGATTTCCAAAAGAATTGCTGGTCTCCCACTATAGTACCACCTCCCAAACAATGAAAATAGGGTCCATACCAAAAATGAACCCTAACCGATGCAAAACGAGGGTTCGGGGGCCAAAACACGCGGCCCCGAAAACAGGCTGTTAGATACCGGAAGTGGCGTGCAACCACGAAGGTGGTCTCTTGGGCCACAGTGTCCCTCAAAAGAGAGGAAACAAGGTGTGTGCCAAAACCTGGAGCAAACGGAGGTAGTTAAGCGGTCCCGAACTGAGGCACACGGCCGACGGCTCCGAAAACCGAAAACTGGTCTCCAATCGGGAAAAATGGCCAACGACCACGAAACATAGCCTATGACCACTGAGAGATGGTCTACGAGACCTCTCCCTCCCTTTAGGAAAAGAAAACAGAGAAAACAAGACTTGGTTCGCAAACCGAGGCAAAGCACAAAAGAGCCCCGAAGTCCGGAGACAAGGCTCGCAGCCGAGACTCTAAAACCTCAGAACGAGCACAATATGCATCATCACCGAGCGCTCAATTGGTGACGTCTGAGTCTTAAGGTCAGTCAAAAATGAGGTGTCTACACAAACACAATGCAACAAATAGAATGGCATGGCATGTACAAATGCAACTCTAGTATGCAATCCTAAATGTAATGCGACTAAGTGATGTAAACATGCAAAGGATGACATGGATTATATGGCATGCATACACAATGCACTAACATAGGCAATGTTATGAACGAGGCATACGTAATGCAATGATCAAACTTGCGATAACATGGACTATATAGCATACACAATGCCAGATGGACTTAAACCAAGATGGATGAACCTCAGCTACACCCAAATTAGTGGCCAAACATGATGAAAACAAGGTAATGACACACACACAAGCATGCACAATGCAAGGGATCAAAGCCTAAGGTACGAGATACAACTCTACAAAAGCATTGAAAGGATGAAATACGGCATACAATGGCACAAGTTCCAGCTTTGAAATGACATACAAGATGGTCCCAAATCATGCAAACAACTCATCCGATGCATGTTGGATGGCACAATTACCGAAACTAGTGAAGTGCATTACACTAGAGGTATGCAAACCGATGCCCAAATGACCAAACCAACCCCAAACAGTCCCTATGCAGGCCCAAAACAGTGGCAAAAAAGACTAAAATGATGGCTTGCAATGCACAAAAGTGAAACTCATGCAATAGCCCAAAAATGAGACATACAAGCACAACTCTCAAACGCATTTAAAGAGTGGAAAACATGGGAATATGGCACAGGTATAAGCTCTGAAATAACATGTTCAATGATGCCAAAACATGAAAAAAAAACTCAAGTTAAGCATGCAAGAGGCTTTAAAACTCGAAGCTAGGCAAGGGTATTACACTACAAGCATGCATGACAAGCATCATTCAACCATGGGACCTCCAAAAAGAGCTAAGGCAGCCCAAATCATGAATAAAATTAGTTTGGAACATGGCCAAAATATGCTAGAATCAAGGGCCGAAACAACATGCAATGTGAGCTAGTGAACATGGATTACATTACAAGCATATGAAGCATTCAAGAGGCCACTAAACCAGCAAAATTCAAAGACATGACATGCCAAATAAAGCCCAAAAACCCACTGAAACATGATCCATGCATGCAAGACTGGCATGCTCCTCTGATAGGCTACAAGAGGGGTTATTCTACACATGCAAGAGACACACCCAAGGTGACAAAACCAACTCTGGAAAAAGCCTAGCCAGGCCCTAAAAGTCATTGAAAATGACCTAAAACAAGGCTTGGAGGTGTGCAAATAAAGGCTCCTTTGTAAGGCAAAAAATGCTAGTGAACAAGACAAGGAGGGAGAGGGTCACCCCTCTCTGATTTTGGCTCTCAAAAACACATACCAACCACTGAAAATCCGCTGGATTTCAGTGGTTAAAATGCCAAGCAAAGGTCAACACAAAGGTCTTAGGGCATGGCTCAAAACAAGGCAAAACGAAGCATGCAAGGGGGTAAATGACCCCCGACAACAAAATGACCTTAAACAAACATCAAAAGGACCTCAAAACAAGACTTTTTCAGTTGACAATGAAGCTTAAATATGCATGAAAATAAGGCTAAGAGATGGATCAAAACAATGCTAAAAAGAAGGAAAATGTGTGTTACCCTTGAAGCTCAGCAAGAGACCAATTTCTCCAGCCCAAAACCAAACCTTTAACCTCTGAAAATGACCTCCAAGGACCTCAAAGCAACGGTGGAAGTGTATGGCTATGAGGTATAGTGTAAAAGGGTCAAGAACTATGCACTTTGGAGCCAAAATGGTGAGATATAGAGAGGGATATATGTTTTGCCTTAGACCAATTTCAGAACCAGGTATAAGGAAGAGGAGGGCCTCTCTAGAGATACAAGGCCAAAGCTTCCTCAAGAAGCTAAAAACCAAGGCTCAAGATCCTCCATACACGTGTATGGAGGATATAGTCTATGCCTTCCAGCTGGCATAGCTGGTACACACTCACAGAGACAAGACTAAGGGAGGTAGGCCGACCAGTTCAGGTGGTCGGCCGACCACTTCCCCTGGTCGGCCGACCTGTTCAAAAGGTTCAACCCCAAAAAAGTTGGTCAGCCAGCCCATTTGGTGGTCTCCCAACTGAATGCAAGCTAGTGGTATGGTGGGAGACCAGCAAATGTGGCTAAAAAACCAAGGAGACCAGCTTCCTGACAAGAAAACTGACGAGCGGGAGAAAAGTGGTCTCCAAGGAGAAAAGGTGGTCTCCCACCCTTGTACCACCTCCCAAACAATGAAAACAAGGTCCATGCCAACAATGAACCAAGACGGATGTGGTCTCCCACCCTTGTACCACCTCCCAAACAATGAAAACAAGGTCCATGCCAACAATGAACCAAGACGGATGCAAAACGAGGGCTCGGGTGTTAAGACGCGCAGTCGGGTGTCCTGAAAACAGGCTGTTAAGCATCGAAAGTGGCGTGCGACCACAAAGGTGGTCTCCCGGGCCACAGTGTCCCTCTAGACAGAGGAAACAAGGTGTGTTCCAAAAACTGTGCCAAACGGAGAATGTTAAGCGGTCTCGAACCGAGACGCACGACCGACGACTCCGAAAATCAAAAACTGGTCTCCAAACGGGAAAAGTGGCCTAGGACCACGAAAAGTAGCCAACGGCCACTGAGAGATGGTCTACAAGACCTCTTCCTCCCTTCGGAAAGGGAAAACAGGACCTGGTTCGCAAATCGAGGCAAAGCACAAAAGGGTCCCGAGGTCCGAGGGTAAGGCTCTTAGCCGAAACTTTGAAACCTCAGAACGAGCACAACATGCACCATCACTGAGCGCTCAAACGATGACGTTGGAGTCTTGAGGTTGGTCAAAAATGGGGTGTCTACAATAACCATTAAACAAGATAGTTTGCTAGATTCTAGCCCAAACTAACATAAAAAATGCCACAAGCCAAAGCCCCTAAAAATAAAAAAAAGGAAAAAAAACACAAGAAGGGAAGTCATGTTACAATTAATAGTGCCATACCATGTTATTGGCAATTGCCAGAGTATGTGAAAGCCTGACAGAGAACTGACATGAAGATGAAATCTCTTTATGTGAGAAAAGGTCAAGAAAAGAGTCAGCTTCGATTGTTTTTCCATCAAGAGTTCTAACAGAATAAAAGGAACATCCAGACTAAGAAAAAAATAATAAGCTTTTTCCCACCCCATCAAAAACAAGAGCTAAAGTACTTGAAGGATAAAGAAGTACCAAGTTAAAGGAGATACCACTTCCATAGTGTCATTCCCAAGATCCTTTCCACCCATAGAGAGAGCATTCATACACACGTACACAATCATCTCAGTCGACAGTAGAACATTGAAAGAGTTAACATACAAATAATCTAACAAATTTGAATTGTTAGGAGAAAATAACAGCAGAATCTTCAAACATTCTAGTTTCAAAGATGCATCCAATTTGAATGTCACTTCAATGGAGAACTAGAGAGCAATTATACACCGAACTAGAAAAATAGATTATGACATCAATGTGGTAGAAATAGGGCAACTATCAACATGAAAACACAAAGCAGTGTTCAATAACAAAGAAGAGAACACTCAAAGACTGCAAGTACTTTAAAAGAATTCTAGATATATAATTTACTCCCTAAATGAAGTACAAAAATGAAGAACCTATACCATGTAGGTGTTTTTATCCTCCATCACATTGAACTTTCTAAGAGCAGAACTGATGCATTTGTTATGACATTTCTCTATGGTGGGCCAAAAATGATGAGTGGCCTGAAAAGAGATATTAAACCCCAAAAGAAAAAGTACATAAGATGACAAGAAAATATAAATATATCATTTGAAACTCTTGCCAATATTAGCATACTTTAACTATCCAAGACATTGTCGGATCATCATTGTCAGCAGGTCAAAAATAAAGCAGATTTATTTATCAAAAACAAAAAAATAAAAAAATAAAGCAGTTTTAAGTGAATCTCAAAGTATTTCTACTCTTCTAAGAATAATTCAGTTCCGGATAAATATTGTCTGCAGAACATTGGTCATGTCTTAACTTCTGTATTAGTTGAATCTAAAATAAAGAAGGGAAAGGGTAACTGAGAGATTAGAACCTTGGAATACTTGGTAGAGAGCTAACTCGTAAGATTGAACAGCCTCCTCAAATGTACAAAGGGAAGAGTCATCCCATACCAATGTTGCAGCTAAATTAGATATACCTTCAAGTTCATCTAACTCAATCTGTTGAAAAATATTCTCATTTCAATATACATGTGCAGAGCAGCTCTCCACTGAGGAACAAAAAAACAAACACACAACCCAACAGAGTCTAAATGCCAATTCTTTGCTAAAATGAAAAGGACATACACCAAAACACAGACGTAAACTAGTTTCAATAGATAAAAATAGACATGGTATGGAAGAGAAGAAATGCAAGCACAAGACAGTAACAAGAATAAATGTGGAAAAGAATGTAAGGTTACCTCAGGTATAAAAAGGTAAAATGAACCTCTTGTGTGCTTCATGGAAGATGACTCTATATCAAAATCAACATCTATAAAACCATCAGCGCTTACAAGTGTTGAATCTAGTGAGAGATATCTGTAAAAAAACCAAACAGGGGTTCATCAACTCATTAGCATAAAAGTTGAAATACCTACTAATTTGTCCATAATATTATCAACAGTGCACCTTTTCGGAAAAGATCATCCAAAATTGGTGCTTACAGCATGCATGGGTGACAAATCATGCACTTGCTCAAAGGGACCATGGCTCTGAAATCTAAATCTAAAACTTTGTTGAGTGCATTACTTTTGACCATTATTGAACCATACCAAGCATGAAAAAATTAAGTCCATGCTGTTTAAATGCGTATTATTCACTAGAAAGTGCTAAATATGGGCACATCAAATGTACCCATGTATGCACATCTACATAAGATCAGCCCAAGAGCTCATCTCACCTTAGTGATCAAGAAATGTGGAGAACAAATGAAAGAAACTGTACATTGGAAACTGCAATAAGCAGTCTTCATTCACATGTGGGATGCCTATCTCACGTCATTAAAATAAAAATTGCCCTTCTATTAACACTAATTTCTTACGTGGATGATCTACTAGGCAAGCATTAAAAGATGAACGGTCTAAATTAAGTTCAACAAATCCTGCCTTATCTGACTCCACTATTAATGCAAATCAGCAATTTTATTTTAATTTATTTTCAACACAATAACACAATAGGATGACTACAACGAAATTTTCATCTCCTATTACCTCCAAAAATGTTAGCTACTCAGCTTACTTTGCAATTTAAGAAATGTTGATCATGAATTTCATCTCCCCCACACACACACATACATACACACTCACAGAGAGAGAGAGAGAGAGAGTTAAGGAAATGAAGTTGGACTGGAAATGTCAATACTTTACATTTGATATCCCAATTTTATATGGAAAAAAGAACCTACCTTTCAAGAATATGGAAAAAAATGAACTACCTTTCACGATAAAAGGCATTCCCTCTCACAATCTCTACATCTCTGTCTTCCTTCTGTCTTTTTTCCCAAGAATTACATCTCCGTCTTTAGTCTTTTTTCCAAAGAATTACAATGGATCAACAAGTTGTTTTTTCTCAACAACCACCACGATCCATTATTAAAAAACCCTCAAAATTTTCTCGGTTTCTTCGATCCATTTTTGGCAACTGCGGCGGGAAGTCGGTGGAGAAGACATTAGTTGAGGATGAAAAAGATGGGAATATAGATTATTCTTTTTCTTTTTCTTTCTCTGTCTTGGACTCGGATTCAGCTTATTCTTCAAAGGAAAAGGGCAGTAAAAATGGAAAATTGCAAAATGAGTTTCAAAAAGTGACAAATGACATTAAGGAAGAACTTTAAGTGGTTGACTTGAAAGGGAAGTTGATAGAAACTACTGAAGAGAAAGAAGCGGAGAAGATGATCAGTGATTTAAAGATGGAAGCTGAAACGTTGAATGGTGAGAATTCAAAGCTTTTACAAGAACTTTTCACCGAATGTAGCCAGTTGAGGGAGAAATTGGGTGAGAGAGAAAGGGAACTTGCGAGTCTCACCAAGATGTATGAGACCCATAAGAGTGAAACATCAGCTCGAATAAGGGGTTTAGAACTTGAGCTGGATTCTCTGTGTACCCAGAAAGGAGATGAAGTGAAGTTGCTGATGGAGAATCTCAACACGATTGAGGAAGACTACGGCTACTTTGAGAGCCGTGTTTATGAAATTCTGAACGCGTTTCAAGGTGCAAAGAACAGGGTTAGAGAATTGGAAGAAACAATCGAAGAGGAGTCAGAAAAAAAATTGTTGATCAACGGAAGATGAAGGACTTGGAACGGGAGGTGGACTCTCTACGGAACCAGAATAGTGATCTGGAAGAGTAGCTAAGAAGTAAAAACCAAGAGACTGATGATTTTGAGTTCCCACCTTTGCCGATGAGATCAGGCCTGTTTTCCCCATTTTTGGTAGAGATGAGCTCGACGGAGTTCCGACAGGAACCTACTGCGTCTCCGGAAGAGTGAAGCCAACAGTGGCCAGAGGAGGAGTGACGGTGGCGCAGGAGAGAGATCGGAGGAGGCGGTTGCTGATGTCGTACAGGCAAGAAGGGTTCTTTGCTAACGTGAAGATGTTCCCCAGAAATGTCAAGAAAATTGGAAATGCTCTTAAAGCTATCGTCTGGTAGAAGAAGTCCAAACAATTGTTCTAAATTTTTATTTTATTTCTTTTGTATTTATGTCTATTATTGTGATTTTTAATTGATTGGTATATTTGATTGGTTTATAAGAACTTTTATCACTTTAGACTTTGATTTAAAAAAAATAATAATTTCACCTTTAGCTTCATATAGGCAAGGTAGACTAGAAAAATAAAAAATTGACATAATTTAAAATAAAAAAATACTAAAAATAAAAAAAAATTGAAATAAAATATAATTTATTTAAAATTTTTCGAACAATTAAAACTTAACGAGATTAAAAAATATATTAAAAGTTTAGTTTGTTTATTATTCAAGTCAATTTTAAATGAGTTTTAATAAATAAAAAAAATAACGAATTAAGTTAAAATAGTTTGAATTTTTTTAAAAAAAGTTCTATAATACATATAAATTATATCCTCAAATCATGATTGCAGTTTTTACGCACTGATTTAAGTAAATATTTCAATAAAAATTCTAATGGTAAATTTTTATTTTGTTTGGAAATTGATTATTGCGCTATTACGTAATTTAGTGGGCTTTCTAAACTATTTTAAGTATTTTTTTACTTTTAAAATTTATTTAATTTAAATATACCTAGAAAGTAAAATAAATATAAACATAATTTTAAAAAATCCCTAAATACATTTTTTTTAATATTTCTTTACAAATATTTTATTTTTTAAGTCCATATAAGTTAATTTCACTAAAAACAAAAAAAAAATTAAAAATCAATTTTAAAAACTCAAAATCAAACAGTTTATAATTTTTACTTAGATTTGTTTTTTTTAAAAAAATCTCAATGTTATTTACCAAACTGTTGGATGTTTGAGTCAATATTTAAATGAAATCTTTTTTCATTTGAGTAAAAAATGAATAAAACTCAATTTGATGTGAGGATGAAACAAAAAATTTAAATGAATTTTGAATATTTATATACAAAAAACATCTTCTATTTTACCAAACTAAGAAAATGCCAAAGAAGAGGAAAACTAAAGCCATGACCTATTTAATATAGACCATTGCTAATAGTGTCACATTTTTTCTTTGGATTTCTACTTTTTTTTCTAGTTTTTTGGAGAAAAATAAGTGAAACATTCTTCTCCAACTTTGTGTAGTAGGCAAGTCTAAGATTTTTCTTTATTAGTTAATGTCCCTTAATATTTTCATAAAGAAAATTTAACTTACAATTTGATGTGAGGATGAAACAAAAAATTTAAATGAATTTTGAATATTTATATACAAAAAACATCTTCTATTTTACCAAACTAAGAAAATGCCAAAGAAGAGGAAAACAAAACAAAAAAAAAAAAACAGAGCAAACATTGAAACAAATACAAAAAATTTATCCAAAAACAGCTAGATTATTCCAGGAACAATTTGTATTATTTAATAGGGTCCGGCTTCTATCTAGTCCAGGATCGGACTAGACCGTGCTGTTGGGCCCGTAGGGGCCCACCACGGGTCCCGTTTTGAAAATCTAAACCGTTCAATGTGTAGAACTTGTCGAGTACTACATGCTTATAAAAAATCACGTTAATTGGATATCGATAGCTATGTGATCAAATCAGTTTTGTATAAAAAAAAATGGACGGTAAAAAAATTAACGGTTGATAAAAAACTGTTTTGTTCACATAGCTATCGATATCCGATCAACGTGATTTTTTACAAGCATATAGTATTCGACGAGTTCTACACATTCAACGGTTCAGATTATCAAAACGGGACCCGTGGTAGGCCTCCACGAGCCCAACAGCACGGTCCAGTCCGATCCTAGACTAGACAGAAGCCATGGCCTATTTAATATAGACCATTGCTAATAGTGTCACATTTTTTCTTTGGATTTCTACTTTTTTCTAGTTTTTTGGAGAAAAATAAGTGAAACATTCTTCTCCAACTTTGTGTAGTAGGGCAAGTCTAAGATTTTTCTTTATTAGTTAATGTCCCTTAATATTTTCATAAAGAAAATTGAACTTAGATAAATTTCGATCTTGACTCAAAGAAATTTCAATTTTCACATAGAAATTTTTGTGAAAATTAAAATTTCTTTGAGTCGAGGCTAAATTTCTCAGAGTCGGGCAAAATTTCTCTGACTAGAATTTTCTTTATGAAAATGTTGATGGATCTTAACTACTACGAAAATGTTATTTATCTTTTATCTTATAAAATCTTAATATCAGAAATTTTAAAAAAGAAATCTCATTTTTTTATTACAATTTTATCATAACAATAAATTTCAATTTTATCTTTATTCCAAACCTCTCAAAAATCTAACCCAAACCCTCCACCCATTCCAACTATCACTCTATTCAGCCAACCCATCCCCATTACCCCCATCTCTCCTTTGGTAACCCCACTCCTTCATAGCCTTTTTTCTTGGGAAAATAATAAAGCAGTGATAATTTCAAAAATAAATATCAATTTCATGAAAAAAAAATTGTGTTTGACTTTAATATAACAAAGTTTTTCATTAATTTATAAATATTTTCTTTAAATTTGATTAAATGAAAATTTTCATCTTTTCTACTCATCTCCCACTTCCATCTCATTTTTTGTGCACAAAAGGGTTGGGTTTTAAAGGAGGAAGAGCTAGGTGGTTGTGGGGCTAGTTGCAGTTAGAAGCTGACTGGCGCAAGTGAAATGATAAAGGCTTATAACTTGAAATCTAATAACACTAGCAGTTGCCACAAGCGATGCGTGTGCTATTTAAATAAATAAAAATAAAATAAAAAATTTATTATATATTATGTGCTAGTCAAGTGGTAAGAATCTTATTCATTTGATATAAGTCTAAGGTTCAAGTCTCCACCACTCATCTATCTATTTTTTTTTTAATTTTAAATAAAAAAGTAAACACATGGCAACATAAGAAACAAAGCTTCAGGACACCGTAAGAGGTGTTCACTTTATAATAGTATAGATAGATAGATAGAT